CTGCCATCAAGTCAGATCTGACTCATAGTGACTCCTCCTTGGGTTTCCAAGGCAGTATCACTACAGAACTAGATTGCCCAGTCTTCCTTCCGAGAAGTGCCTGGGGGGTTTTAACCACCAGCCTTCTGGTTAGGGTGCCATATTAGATTGTACATACTTCCTTTTCCCAGTTAATGCATCAAACAAGTTTAGAGGGTAATACCATCTCTATTTTACATATAAGTTAACTGAAGCACAGCAAGGTAAACTGACTTAGCCGAAGTTGTAAAACTGCTAAGCAAAACAGCCTGGATTTAAAATCAAGTTTCTCTGGCTCAAAAATCTTGCCTTTTCTTATTACCTTCACCCATCATCTTGCTTTCTCCTCCAGACAGATAGCAGTAGACTTCTCTGCCTTTTCCGGATTTGCATTGCATCTATATCTTTCCGTCACTTGAGCTCAATTTTCAACATCTTACTCTGTATATTTACATTTTCATTGTTTAAAACTTTAATATTTTACATTGATTACATTTACATTTTCTATTTATTTACATTTTTATAATTTAATAGCCACATGTTGCATTCTATTTTTTCCTCTGCTGTATTATTAAGTTTTTTTTTTTTTTCCTGGAAATATGTTATAATGTCTACTTAGCAGCCATTTTATTAGTCCTCTCTGATCACTGAACCTAACAGAAACTGTTCAGAAATGCACAGGCTGCCTCCGTAAAGCACTGCTTATACAGTGCATGGGAGCCACCCAGTGGCCAGGCACTCTTACACCAGTAATCAGCAGTTACACAATCTGATTCTAGAGATTTCAGGTCTAGATGGTCCCACTAAAGCAGAAAAAGGCAAAATGAAGGAAAAAAATAAATAAATAAAAGTAAAAACTACTGGCTTTGTTCTAAAAAGAAGCCTTAAAGGACTTGACAACTTAAATGACCCACTGCAATAAACAGAATCTTTAAAGACATAAGGAGTTCTTTTGGTACAATGGATAAAGCATTTGGCTTCTAATTTTAACCCAAACCCACCAGCCACTCCATGGGAGGAAGATGAGGCAGTCTCCTTCCATGAAGATTTACAGCCTTGGAAACCATATGCGACAGTTCTACTCTGTCCTATAGGTTTGCTATGAGTCAGAATCCACTCAATAGCAGTGCTTTTTTTTTGGGGGGGGGGGGGCGTGTTATAGACTTAATGTTGCAAAAACAATAATAGCAAAGGAAATGAATTACAATAAGAGAGTCTGATAACCCTCTTTTAAGTTTAATTATCACATGAACTAAGATGCAATATTTAAATCTACTACCTATGGTTATGTAAACAATTATTGCCTTTTTTCAGGTGTTTTCCCACTAATTCCTTTTCTCATCTTTTTCTTTTTGCCACAGAACTTTCCACTAATCATGACTTTCTCATTTTTCTTCTTCTCAGGGAAGTCCATTCTCTTTCCCTCACCCCCAGCACATCTCCCATTTACTTTTTACCCCCAGCAAAAGGTGATTAGCTGTTAAGAATAATTGGGAAGATATTTGAGGCTCAGTTTATCTTTCTTTCAGCAGGAATTAACTACTCTACATTTCAATGAATATCTAAGTTCTTTATATTAGGTATGGAATCTCCAGCCAAAAACAGGCTTAGAAAAACCCTTACTTTCTGGAGTTAATCAAACAGTTTAAAAGAGGCTAAGGACAAAAAGAATTATTTCTAAGCATTAAAAAATTCTATTCTGAAAAAAGAAAAAAAAAATGTCTTTGCAGCAGACTTGCCAAATGCAATATATCATTTTATTTCTTGACTGCTGGCTATATGGGCATTTATTGTGGATCCAAGTAAAAATGAAATGTTTGAAAACGTCAAAAAAAAATCTATTCAATTAAACCTATCTATCTATGGTTGTTACAATTTCCAAAATCCCAGATATATTGTGGTGAACAATATTTAAGTGTATCTATAAACAAATTTTCAGCTTCTCATTCATTCATTTATTCAACAAATATTTAAATGCCAGCCATTTGCAGGTACTGGGGTAAATGCTGCAGTTTCAACAACAAATTATGTAGTCTTTGCTCTCAGGGACTTTACTGTCTTCTGTAACCTGAATTCAATTCCACCAGAATTTTCTGGTGTCTATCTGGGTAGTATAAACCTACCTTACCATATCCATTTTTTTTGGTAGATTAAATTGTCAGTTAGTGACACTACGAATTATAACAGAAGATCAGATAAATTTACCAAGAATTACAATTACAAAGCAAGGTAGTGAGAATTAGATAATTTTCATATGCTTGGAATCTCAATAAATAAATAAAAACTGAAAGTGAAAATATCATCTCTTCTGGATGGAAGATTCACAGCAGCCCTTAAACTCAAACACTAAATTATAGAGCTGACCACAGCACAGCCCTGTGGTAGATTCACAGGCAGAGAATATTAAGTGACCTATTTTTTTTTTTTATTTAAATATATAACAAGAGTAGAAACATACACACACACACACAGGATATACATATTTTCATTTTATTAAACTAAGGATTAGAAAACTTGAATTGTTAGCAAGAATTAAATATCTTATCTCTGAATTTTTATTTATGAGGTGATTTAGTTAAAACCAGAAATTTGCGTAATACTACTTAGCTGCAGACCTCTAAGTGATTTAAAATTCTATAATAATAACCAAATTTGTCACTGTCAGTTTCTTTTCAGTCAAACGAATGTCATCATATAGAAAATGTTCACTCTAGGAATATATCCCTTTAAATTATATTAATAAAACTACTTAAGTCCTCATGCTCATTGTTTTATACCATAATCTGTTTTATTTCATCAGTGGTGTGGTGCCCACATTGCCCTTCAATGACTATTTAAAACATTTGACCCCATCCTTGTGTAACTGTAGGAATGTTCTGAAAAGGAAGCAGGTGGATCTGTCTCTTTCAGGTTAGTCTATTTTAGGATATTCATTTTTGTCATTAATTAAATCATATGCAATTGTATACTATTAAGATATTTGTTCTCTTAGACCATCTAGTATTCTTCTGTGTTAATGTTTCATTTTGCTTTGTATCCAGTGGAATTCCTAAAGGAATACTATACCTGAAAGTATGAAGATTTGCTTTACTAGCCCTTAAGTGTCTTTGGCAGAATGTGTAATTCTTAATTTCAGCATCATCTTTATGTTTAAGGAAGCATTGGTAAGAATGAATGTATTGGCGTTGTGTCCATCACAGTCCACATTCATGTTTTTACATTTCCTCTCTGTTCAGAGCACTCTCTCAAGGATATGAGGAATCACACAGAGCTGAGTGAGTTCATTCTGTTGGGAATACCTGAGCCAAGGGACTGGAGACTATGCTCTTTGTTATCTTCTCATTTATCTACTTCTTCACCTTGATTGGCGATTTACTCATCCTCATAGCCATCGTTTCTTCCTCTATCCTTCACACTCCCATGTATTTCTTCTTGGGATTCCTATCCATTTTTTACATATTTTTCCCTTCTGTAACTTGTCCCAAGATGCTTTTCTGTCTCTCTGGTCAGAGCCAAGCCATCTCTTATAAAGGGTGTGCTGCACAACTCTTCTTCTATCATTTCCTGGGTTGTGCCGAAGGCTGCCTCTACTCTGTAATGGCCTATGATCGCTTTGTGGCCATCTGTCATCCTTTGAGGTATATGCTTATCATGAAACCCAGGGTCTGTGTGGGTTTGGTCATGGGGGCCTGGTTGGTGGGTTGTTTTGATGCCACCATATTGACTTCCTTTACCTTTCAGTTAATCTACTGTGGCCCCAATCAGGTGGACTACTTCTTCTGTGACATTCCTGCTATCTTACCGTTGGCTTGTGCTGACAGCTCCCTGACCCAGAGGGTGGGTTTCACTAATGTTGGCCTTCTGGCTTTAATGCTTTTGCTCAGTATTTGTGTCTCCTACACCCGCATTGGAATGGCCATTTTAAGGATCTGTTCAGCAGAAGGTAGAAAGAAAGCATTCGCCACCTGCAGTGCCCACCTTACTGCAATACTCTGTGCCTATGGACCTGTAATCATCATCTATCTGCAGCCCACACCCAAACCCTTGCTTGGGGCTGTGGTGCAAATATTAAATAATCTTGTCTCACCCATGCTGAACTCATTAATCTATTCTTTAAGGTACAAAGAAGTAAAAAAGTCCCTGAAAAGGGTATTCCACAATGTAGTATTTACTGTTCTGGAATAAATAATCGGTTTAGCAATGATTTTAGAAGCATACTGTCCCTTCAGGGCATCCTCCTCTTTTCTCCTCTTTAAATAAATTAGTGAAAAATGGAGATACTGTCTCTGAAAGCATGATACTGTGTTCACCTAGTAAGATTTTGTTTGTGTGCCTTGGTAAATCCTGTTACTCCACAAAGAGCTCTGTAGTTAATATTTTTCTCAGTGCCTTATTCTTGAATAAGGAATCCAAGAGACATAACAAGCAGCTGGAGACAGATTTCTTGTTCCTGTCATCAGCATCAAATTTTGCCTGGTTGGACATAGTGAGAATCTGTAGCAGTCCAAGAAGTATCCTCCAGTTTTTCTTCTCTATGCCAATCAAGTCACCCTTCATTACTTTTTTAAATTTGTTTGCTCCACTTAAAATGCAATTGTTTCCCTTTTCTGCCTGTAAAAAATGTATTTTTCTATATGTTGCTAATAGTATTAACTGATATAAGTTAGTGTGAACTAACACTATCCATAGGAGCTCTGGTAACTTAGTGCCTAAGGCACTTGACTGCAAACCAGAAGACAGGTGGTTCAAACCCACCAGCCACTCCTTGGAAGAAAGGTTGGGCAATCTACTTCTGTAGTGATACTGCCTCAGAAACCCAAGGATGGGTCGCTATGAGTCAGGGCCGACTCGATGGCACATAACAAAAACACTATCCATAAGGTAGTGTTACAGTGACAATTGTGAGGCTGACACAAGCCCTGGGCAGTGTTTCTTCTATTGTACTTAGGGTTGGCTTGACTCAGAACTAACTTGACGACACCTAACAATAACAACAACCCATAAGGTGGTGTTTTCATTTCATAGAAGAGATCTCTGAGGATTAGAAACTTTAAATAATGGGGCCTAGATCACACATTAAGCAACAATGCAGACCTTGAACCCAGCTCCAACTTACTCCAAAGACTCTGCTTTTGTGTGTATGTGAGTGTACGCTTTAGGTGCAAATTTACAGAGCAGAGTTTTTCTTACATTCAACATTTTGTGCACATCTGATTTCACTCCCCAGTTGCCATCCCCAACCCTAACCCACTCTCCTCTGTTGCCGTCCCAGTAACCCTGCCCCTGTGCCCCTTGTGGTTATGCACTCCTGTGTCCTGTATTTCCTCCATGTGAATGCTGCCCTTCTGATGCCCCATGGTTAATTGCTCCAAGGGATACAACTCCATAGAGTATGTGGGTGTGTCACCCTGGGTTGAGTGGTCTGTGTGTTTGTCTCATTTACTACTGGGTGAGAGCCAGCTCTTGAGAGTGAGTTTTATTCCAGGCCTGAAGTGTATCCCAGGGCTGCCATTGTATTGGGGGTCCCACCAGACTCCATCTGACCAGTAATTCTGGTCATTATTGTGTTTTGGGATTTGTTCCATGTTTTTCCTCCCACTCTATCCAGGATCTCGTTTTGATCCCATCCCGAGTGGTTGGCATTGGTGGCCAGGCACAATCTAGGTCTCCTGGTCTCAAGGTCCACCATGCCTAGGGCTGATTGCTTCCAAATGGTGTTGGTTTTTTGTGCTTTTCTTAGCTTCTGACGATAAGAGACCATTAGCTGCATCTTAGATGGCCACTTGAAAGCTTTTTAGAAGACCCCAGTCACCACTCACCAATGTAGGTTGTGGAACAAGACTTTTATGTACTTTGTTGGGCCAACTGAGTCTGGCGTCCTCCAATGCTATGATCCTAAGTAGGTAGATCCATTAGATCTCTCTCCCACAGTGTCTGGGTGTCTGTGAGTGATTGCTCAATGCAAAGACCCTGCTCTTAATCCCTCTACAACATGGCTGCCCTAAATGTCCCAGAAAGCATAACCTCTCTCCAGAGCCTAGCACAGGTCATGACACATAGAAGCTACTCAATAAATAGCTGGTGAAAGACACAAGTGTGTATAGGTTTATATAGTTTCCTTATTATCATCACCACATATTCTGTTCCACTATCTACTTTATAGATGGTGGCACAGAGAAACAGCAAGACATTCCTTGCCCTGAGTAACACAGGTACAGTAAAGCTAGATCTATAACCAAGGTCTCTCAACTTGGAGAGTCATAGTTTTGCTACTGCACCAGTGCTATCAAGATCCCAAATTACTCATTAGTGTAAAAGGAATAGGAAAGCCTGTCATTCTGATGTTGCTTGAAGAGGAGAATCATAATTATGGGGAACAGTGAACAGGTTCATTTTCTTCTCCCACAAAGTTACATTTTCCAACTTGACTCTTACGATTCTGGAAATGATCATTATTTCTCAATTTTCTCCAGAATCCAAGGATGTTGTTTACTGGACACCTATCCTTAGTTTTTTATAGTATTTTAGTCACTTGTCATTTATATATTTTCATTCTCCAGTTTCTATCCTATTTGAAACCATGAAAACAGAAGAAGTGAAAATAAATTGGTATCCATACAAAAGACATGAGACAAAAGGACAGAATGGAGCACATGCAACATAGATAAGAGGTTTGAGGTACAAGATGAGGGTTTAAGGCCTCTCTAACCTGACAGACACATCCTAGATCACATATAATTTTATTCTCATACTTTGGGAAAACAGTATCAATTTGCTACTCTATTAAAGCTGAATATTAGTCAAGAACACACATGCCATGACATCTGGCAAAGTCTGGGCAAAGTTTATGTGAAGGCATTCATTACATTGATAATCATTTGCTCAATGGTTTCCTTCCTGGCAGATTAGAAGTTTTATAACAATAGTGACAATGTTTGTTCCATTAAGTGTTTGATGAATGAACAAATGACCAAAAAACTGTGAGGTAAGTACTTATTTAATTAACATGGAAAACAAAATATGATTGAAATATTTAGGGTACAAAACAAAAACATACCCAAAGTCAAGTGTATATCCTCATACAGATAAATTTGAAGCCATAATGAAACCTGAAACTTGAATGCACCAGGGTCACTTTCTTCACCCTTCTAAATCAGTCTGTCTGACATAAAAAACAAAACAAAAACAAACTTTTAATTAAAAGAGTTAAAAAAAAAATTTCTTATAGCTAAAACTTAGTATATCATTTAAAATAAGATTTTATTAAAAACACACACCAGAAAAAAAAAAATGCCATCAAGTTGATTCTGTCTCCCAGCGACCCTACATGTTATAGTGTAGAACTGCTCCATAGGGTTTTTTGGTTGTTGTTGTTATACTCTTTATGGAAGCAGATTCCTGCATATATTCAAGCCACCACTTGGTTAGTAGCCAAGATAAAATAGTTTGTGACACTCAGGGACCTAAAATATACACACTTGTCCAAACCCCATTTCATAAGATCTTACCCCACCTTTTTTTTTTTTTTTTTCCTTTTAATCTCTCCCTGCATTTGAAAACTGGTTCCATTCAGCTGATTCCAACTCATGGCAACTATGTGTGTCAGAGCAGGCTGTGCTGATATTTTTGATGGCTCATTATTTTGGAAGTAGATTGCCAGGCCTTTCTTCTGCAGTGTCTCTAAGTGGATTCAAATGTCTACTCTTTTAGATAGCAGCCAAACATATAACTGTTTGTGCCGCCCAACAGAAACTGATGTTCTTTATTATTATCTTAAAATCCTCTTAAAATTCTCTAATAGTTCCTCCTCCTAGCCAACATTGCCTCTAGATTTTTTCATTAGCTTTCATTATTTAACACTTTTTCTTATTTTCCCCAATTTACTAGACCTTTTTCCATTTATATTAATCTTCCCTTCTTAAATTCTTCAATTCTATCCTTACCCAATATTGATTCTACAAAATAAAGGCCCAGGCAACATGACAAAGACAAAATTTCCATATCAGCTGGAAGTAGGAAAAAAAAAACCACATGAATGCTTATGCCTTCTTTTTCTCACCATGTAAGAGTGTGTATATATATACATATATACATATATATTTATATGTTTAAACATAAATGGATTATTAAAAGAATGTTAACCCAAATATTAAAAAATGATTAATCTGATTTTGGGTAATTTTTACTTTCCTCATTGCATTTTTCTGTGTTTCTTTCATTCTTTTTCAATGAGCTTGCAGCATTTATTTTTTAAAAGCTATTTTCTAGAGAATAAAAGAACTTCTCAGTATGAGATATAGTGACGCAGATTATCTGAACAAAGAAGTTTAAAGGAAATAAAAAAATCCAGAACAATTCATTAAGTAGTCATTTTTAAACCCAATGGTGTGATATTTATGATTTATCTGTGCTATTTATAAATCCTGCCTGAACAAATTTATAATAAAATGTTCTAATAGTTTGGTTATGGTTTGGTAATCCCATAAAGTGTGGTTAGAATATACTCATTCTCTTCTTGTAACTATACTCTGTAAACCCTAATCCTCTAGGTATTCCAGGATATCTGTGTAGAGGTCCTTACCTGATTGTTAGAATCAAAGTCTGATTCTCAATGTATGTTCAGGTATAGAAGCTTAGAAACCAAAAAAAAATAAGTTGTAATCTGATGTCATAAAATAAATTGACCAAAAAAAAAAAAATAAGTTGTAATCTGATGTCATAAAATAAATTGGTACTTAATCCACATACGGGAGCTCTGGTGGCATAGTGCCTAAGGCATTTGACCTCTAACCAGAAGGCTGGCAGTTCAAATCCATCAGCCACTCTTCGAAAGGAAGATTAAGCGATCTACTTCTGTAGAGATACCACCTCAGAAAACCAAGGAGGATGGCTATGAGTCAGATTTGACTCGACAGCAGTGAGTTTGGATTTTTGGCTTTTTGGTAATTTACGTATATTCTCAGCAATTTTTCTCGGACCTAGTGGCTACCATTTCTCCTTTTTTCAATATTCTATAGTAAAATAATCTTCCTTATTTGTCTCCCTAAATGTACTAGTGTTTCCCCCAAATCCTCTTCCCACTGCAGCTAGAATTTTGTTTCTTCCCAGCTTCTCTCTCCACACTTATGAGGTTTTCTGAAAAGTTATTGGAGAATGTGGCTTAAACTAGGGTCCATATGGAGATT